CCAACCAACATAGCTCATATGGCTCTCTCTTTCTCTAAATAAATTATGGCCTCCTTGTTATTTCTTAGTCAATTTGGTAACGTTTTGGTTTATCTTTTATTATTTTTCGTATTTATTTTTTAAAAATATAAACATTTGGTCATGGTAAATTTTCTTATTTTTCATTCTACATAATTTTGGAAATAACCATAAGTTATTTGGTTTCTTGTTCCGGAATAAAAGTATTATTTTATCTTTTTTTTAATATATAATAAATATCAAAAAAAATAAATATAACATAAAAGATTTTGAATATTTGATATGAAAAATTAAATCTCATGTAAAGTTTTTATTTTTTTAATCTCAAATTTGAGAGAACACAAAATAATAGATGATTAGCAACATGTTCCAACTTCAATTTTAATTAGAAAAGAAAGATTAAAAAGCAAGAAACAAAAGCAGTTCAATTTTTCTGGATTGAAAAGGAAAAAAACGATAAACACTAAACATGAACATTATTGAACAGACTTTAACTCTCTAAGCTCTCGATTTTGTGTCTATAAGATCAAACGGAAACTCCAACCATGTGTACCTAAGTTTGTAATTTAAGCTTTTTTTTATTCATTTTTTTTACTTATTTAAAAAAATAATGATTACGATACAATTTTGGTCCCTTACTTTGAGCTATGATTCATTTCGGTCCCTGTACTTTCAAAATATTCATTTTGGTACATGCACTTTCAACTTTTGTTCATTTTAGTTCTTATACTCTCAAAATGTTCGTTTTAGTCTATGTACTTTTGAAAAGTGACCATTTTTATCCCTATTTTAAAAAAATTAAAATAAATTGTGTATATATCGAAAACTCTTTAATATAGAATCATTGTTACATTTCAATAAACATATTGAGTATAATATCATGTTGAAATTGTGGTAGAAAAATTAGATTAAAAATAAAATTGAATGACTAAAATAGTCACTTTTTAAAAAGTACAAGGACGAAACGAATATTTTGAACTACAAAGACTAAAATGAACCAAATCTCTAAATATAGGAATCAAAATGAATACTTTGAAAATACAGACATCAAAATGACGCAGTCAAAAGTACAGGGACAAAAATAGTATTTTAATTTTAAAGAATTTATATAAGAGGTAAAATATTCGTGAAAGGACTAATTTGGAATTAATGAGATAGAAGAAGGGGTTGGAAGTAAATGAGAGGCGAATGAGAATCCGGGCCTTGTCGCCACGTCACCATCACACAGATTTGTGATAGCGATTTCCAGTCCCTCTCTTCCAACTAATTGGATTCCCTTTCTCTTTCCAATTTTCCATTTTCTTTTCCTCTCACAAATTTCTACAAAATCTATTATTCTAAATAATCTTATTTTATTTCAATTTCATCTTTAAATCTTTAATTTAAGAAAATAATTATTCTATCATCCCACTCAATATCCCTGCATAGTTTTGTGCTTGCCTCGTATCAATATCTTTGATATTTGAAAATCAGGTAATTCATTCTCTAAATATTTAGCGACAAAATATGACAATGATTGAAATAGATTTAACTTTTTCAAAAGCCACGGATATTTAAATAGATATTTTAAAAATTTAAGGATTATTAACTTTTTCAAAAGCCACGGATACTTAAATAGATATTTTAAAAGTTTAAGGATTAAAATAAAATAATATGAAAATTGTAAGGATTGAAATTAAATTTAAAATCTTAATAGTTGCAGATCTAGTATAATTTAGATAAAAGTATTATAAAAATTATTACAAATATAGTAAAAATCAGACCACGTGTAAATTAATGATTATAATGCTAATCAATAATGTTTATGATTACAATGGCGTATGAAAGTTAATTATTGGGTTATATAAATTAATCACAATCACATAAATTAAATATATAAATTAAGATTGCCATGTCTGACATTAGAGGATTATATGTTTAATATTTGTAAATGTTATTAGTTATTAATTGTTTAAAATCTAAATTTATATTTATTAATGGTATAAAATTTAGAAATAAATTAATTTTATTAACAATTATTTTTAATTGAATTATTTCGTTCTAAATTTTAAAATAATAACTTTTGGTTGAAAATAAATAATTGACATTACAAACAGAAAATAAATATATCCAACACAACTTAAGTGATTAACTTTTATATTAATTATTTTTTAAGATTTAGGAGGATGTTAATATCCAATAATAAATGAATTTAAGATTTTTTTCCATTCTCCCTTCGTTACCATTCCAAATAAAGTAGTTACAGTGGAATTTTATTTAACCTAAAATATTCTTAAAACATTAAGAATTTTATACTAATCATATCTATTAACTTATTATTAATGTTGAACAAAAAAATCATTAATGTTTAAAAAAAAGTTACAAAATTTACCATTAAAATTATTATATAATAACAATTTAGTTCTTGAATTTTCTTTTTTGTTTTTCTATTAAAAATGGTAGATTGGAAGAGATATATAATGACATAAAATTAATAATAAAAATATGATTTATTATAATTTAATAAGTTAAGAAGGGAATCTTTTAATCACTTAAAATTTATTTTTGGAATACCTTTTAATTACTTAATATTATTATCAAAAGTTTTACTTTTTTTTTCAAATGGATTAATTACTAAAAGTAGTACCTATGAGATATCAAAAGAAAAAAAAAAGTAGTACCTATGAATAATGGTTCTAGAAAAAAAGTACCTATGAACAATGGATACTTTAATTAACTAATTAATGGTCTTAAAAAAACTAATTAATGAAAAGTTTTGTTAATTGAATAAAACTAAATTAGATTTTTTTTGATAAAGTAAAACTAAATTAGAATTATTCTTGATGAAGGGAACCATGGATTAACAACAATATCTAAGAGTATATATTGTCATGTAAAAAGAAAAAAAGGGGAAAGAAACAGTTTTAATCATCTTTTAATAAATAAAAAAATTAAAATATATAAAAAAAATTAAAATTTTCTTTAGAGTTGGGTGAAAAATGTATTTTCCTTCCGAAAACCTCAAAATTAAATATAATACAAAGTATAATATAAATAAATCAGTAATTACGATAATTATATGTCTCAACAAAAATTACAATAATTATAGTTGATTAATATATAAGTTAAAGATGATTACCATGATTATAAATAATAGTATTTAGTTTAATTATTGATTTATGTAAATAATTACAATTATGTAAAATGAAAAATATAATTACATTATTAAAGTAAATGAGTGAATAATAAGTTTTTCTTAAATATACATTTGTAGGCAATTTAAAGAAAAATGTTACATTTGTTGTAATTGCCTTCATAAAAACACATATTGTTGCGGTCCTACTCTGCGTAGCCGACCTGTTCGGAGAGATTGACCTAACAGGTCGGCGTCATGTACTTATAAAATAAACTCGACGCCAAGGATCCATTTGTTGAGAGCAGAGGAATGACTGATTCGAAGCATAGACCAGAGGTCGTTCGAAGGAGCCCGACGCGAGCAGGAAAATACTCGGATGAGACATCTATCTACCCCATTAACCGTTATAAATACACTACCACATCACGAGTCCAGGTATGAAATCTGTCCGAAGTTAATCTGTTAAAGCTCGAATTATCTACTGACTTGGACGTCAGAGTGGTTTACGTCCTTGCAAGTACCCCTGAGATCGCCTAAGTGCGGTCACCCGACCTCATCGTCTTTTGTGCCTTAGCTGCTGATTTTCGCATCAACACATGTATACAAATATTGTACAAAATGAAGTTATCTATGCAATTTCCTTCTTCTTCTTATTTTTTATTTTATTTATTTTTAAAATTATATAAGACTAATTGGATTTTCTAACTGGTTAGAATGAGAGAGTATTTTACATTCAAGCTACTATTTTTCAATTTAAACTTTAATGATATCCTTATTATACTAAAAGGTGAAAATTTATTTTTGGACCTATTATCTTTTGTTTAAATGTCAAATTTTCCTCTAATAATTATAACGTGCTCTATTCATTTCATTATTTTTAAAATTAAAATCAAAATAATATGCTTAAAATTGTACTCAATTTTAAAATGAAAAATTAATTTTAAAAACTTTTATATTTAAGATTAAAAAATAATAATAAACATAAAATCGTTGCCAGACAAAGTTCTAAAATTTTAAAACATACTTTAAATGAAAACTAAAAGTTGTATACATTTTCTGGTTATTGAAAACGATCCCATGTAAAAAATGTTGAGTAATTACATTATATGACATAAATTTAATATTTACTTTAATAAAGGTGACAACTTTTTCATTTTTTTTAATATAGCATAAATTTTACTTTTTTTAGTATATTTTATTTTACATTTGCTTACTTTGTAATAGTTAAAATTTAATTATTGTTTTTATAGTACAAGCTAAAATTTGATTTCGACTATATTATTTTTGTAAAATTTTAAACTTTATGCTATGTTATATTTAAAAATATACATCAATTTTGTGTTATTTAAGTAAACACCTAAAAAAATTATAACCATCGGAAAGGAATTCATTATAAAAATTCATACTTAAAAAAGAAGTTAAAAAAGTTTTCACACTTTTTTTTTTAATATAGGGTGTGGATGGAATTCATAGCCTCGATTGAGATATATATCAATTATTGTTAAGTTATATTCACTTTAGTTTTCATAATTTATTTTTTTTTAAGTGGAGAGTTAAAAAAAGACTATCTTTTAGCCGAAAAGTTTTCATAACTAAAAACAGAAAATCATATTTAAGGTATTAATTAATGAAGCTTTTAGTTCACACAAAGAGATAAAAGCTAGAGAGAGAGAGAGAGAGAGGGGCTAGAGAGAGAAGACTGTAGTAAATTAGTGCGAGGGGGACAGCAGCGTATCTTTGAAAATCCTAAAAAATCCCATTTTTTGGATTTCTGTTCGCTTCAAAAGCAAAGAGGAAAACAAAACAAAGCTCAAACTACAACACTACTCAAGAAAAAAGGAGAAAAAAAAAAAAAAATCCCACACCCAGATCAAAAGATTCAAAACCAAACAAATTCGGTGCCCTCTTCTTCTTCTCCTCCTCCTCCCCTTTTCTTCTCTTTAATTATATGTTCCTCTGTCTCACACTCTGAATCCTGTGCTTCGCTGTTTGATTTCTTTTCTTTTGGGTATTCCACACTCTGTGAACTTGATTATAATATGGGGAGCAACGACAGCGAACGTGCTCTTATTTGTCAGATTGCCTCTTCCTCCTCAACTAAACTTCACGTTCGAGGAAGGACATGATTGCAGTCTTGTTTTCTATATTTTATACTATTCCTCTCTGCCCCATTTCCTCATTCAACATTCAGGTCAAAACCCAGAGCAATTTTTTGAGTGAGGTATAGTTTATAGGGTGGGGGAAAGGGTATAAAGAGGAAATACTTTGGAGTTTGAGCCTCTTTCCCCATCTTTTGAGGGTCTTGCTTCTTCTGGGAATCGCTAATTTCTTTTTCTTTTCTTCTCCTGTAATGGGGTTTCAGTGAAATTAGGGAGGGGATTCAGAGGAAGAGAGAATTTGGGTGTTTTTTTGAAATGGGGTTTCTGAATAATTGCTTGTCTGAGCTTATAATTGTGTGTGTGTGTAGAAATTTAGTATGAGGTGGTGAAGGCAGAGAGAAGAGGGAGGAAACTGTTGGGATGAGTATGAAGATGCAGCAGAGCCACCACTCTGTGGCTGTGAGGTTTAATGAGCAAATAGCGAGCAAAAAGGGGGTTACATGCATTCAAGCCAATAGGGCTTGGCTTCCTAAGTTTCTGCTGCTTTGGATTCTGTTGGTGGCATTCATTAGTATGTTGATCTACAAAGGAATGGATGCTGATAACAAAGTTAGAAGAGAGGAAGTTCTTGGGAGCATGTGTGACCAAAGGGCAAGAATGCTTCAGGATCAATTTAGTGTCAGTGTCAACCATGTCCATGCCTTGGCTATTCTCATTTCCACTTTCCACTACTTCAAGAACATATCGGCCATCGATCAGGTTTCAATTTCTGTCTTTTAATCATGAATGAGCTTTTAGCTTATACGTGAGAGAGAGAGAGAGAGAGAGTATCAAGTTTTCTTGTTTTTAGCTAGGAATTACATTGACATCTTTAATCTCAGTTTCTTGGGGTGTTTGATTTGTTTAAATACAGGAAACTTTTGCCGAGTACACAGCTAGAACTGCTTTTGAGCGGCCTTTGCTTAGAGGTGTGGCGTTTGCACAAAGAGTGGTGCATTCTGAGCGAGAGAAATTCGAGAAGCAACACGGGTGGACTATAAAAACCATGGAAAGGGAAGTTTCACCTATAAGGGATGAGTATGCGCCAGTCATATTTTCACAGGAAACCGTTTCTTACATTGAATCTCTTGATATGATGTCTGGAGAGGTAATTTTGAGTTACAATCTTTGACTTGCTTGGTTTTATCTTCATTGAAAGTAAATTTTTGTTTTTGGTTTGGTACCTGGAAGTGTAATTTGAGTCTTGTAATGCATTGCAGGAGGACCGCGAAAACATTTTGAGGTCGAGAGAAACAGGTAAAGCTGTTTTAACCAGCCCTTTCAGGTTACTGGGTTCTCATCATCTTGGAGTTGTGTTGACGATCCCGGTTTATAAAACCAAGCTTCCTGCAAATCCAACTATGGAGGAGCGAACTCGAGCAACAGCAGGGTAAGTTCCAAAAACAGTTTTTCCTTTAGAAACCTAAAAAAAATAAACAATTGCAAGAAGTGGCTAGTATAGTAAGTTGAAATGAAGGATTCACAAAAAATGAGAAATTGTGAATACCCAAAAGGATGTGTACTTCACACAAAAGTCTGCAAGATCCTACACCCTGCAGTTTGGTGCTTTTCGTAAGCCTTTTACTAAACGTTGATTAATTATATCTAGGTTTGAAAATTGTTAAAGATGGTGTTGTCAATTTTATTGTTATATGTTGCATATTTATGCCTCAATCTATTTGTACATAAGGACAATCTACAGTCTCACCCCTTCATTCTTTCAACCGCTCACTTGACACTTCGCTACCCCTTCCTTAGATCGTCTAGCTAAGTGAATCTAAGGGGAAATCTACCAGTACCCAGCCCCAAAGACGACACCTTGTCCTCAAGTTGATAATAGGAACATGCCCCTCCCACAAAAGGACTTTAGTTGAGTTAGTTCTTCTCTCCATATTTTGCACACCTCAAATTTCCCCGATATATCAAACGATGAGGACAATGGTAGTGATAAGATCTACAAGGATGTCCGTATTGCCCGCTTAGCTGTGATACATGGAAAACAAAGTGGATTTTAGACCCTTGCGTAATTACTGCTTGTAAGCAACCCAACCATCATTCTCTGTGACCCGGAAAGGCCAATAAAACCTTGGAGATAGTTTCCGAAAGGCTTGAACTACTACTGAAGTTAAGCGAGCGGGGGCTATCGCTATTCTGCCACCACCACCTTCCTTTCCGCACCATGTTCTGATTTTTCCTTTTCTCACTGCCATTACTATATTACTTTAATTTCTCTTGAGGATTTGAGTGAGATTTTTTATTTTTGAATAAGAACAGATCTAATTTTATTTCCAGTCAGTTTCAATAGCATGGTTTTGCTTGGTTTGCATGAACTTCTTCGTCGTGAAAATCTTTATTCTCATAGCATGTTATCATAATCTAATATTTTGGAAGAATGAGGAAGGTTAGTTCTCATACTTCACTTTGAGATATTACCGGTTGTGATGCATCTTGATTCTTTTATAATTTCTGCAGTTACCTTGGTGGAGCCTTTGACGTGGAATCACTTGTGGAAAATTTGCTTGGGCAACTGGCTGGAAATCAAGCCATTTTGGTGAATGTACACGATATCACAAACTATTCCGATCCCCTAATAATGTACGGTTATCAATATGAAGATGGCGACATGTCCCTTTTGCATGAGAGCAAACTAGATTTTGGAGATCCATTTAGGAAGCACCAGATGATATGCAGGTAATTGCAACCAAGGTCAAATCTTCCAAAGTATCTGTAATGTATCTGTTCATTTTTTTCCATTGATTTCTTGTGTTGGAATTTTGAGCAGGTATCATCAGAAAGCTCCAACATTATGGACTGCACTCACTACTGCATTTTTGTTCTTTGTGATTGGATTGTTGGTGGGATATATCCTATACGGTGCAGCGACTCATATCGTTAAAGTTGAGGACGATTTTCATGAAATGCAAGAGCTGAAAGGTCGAGCTGAAGCTGCTGATATCGCAAAATCTCAGGTATTTATTAAAGCCTTTCATTCTCCCAATCTCATGCTGCAATTTTCCTCATTCCAACTTTTGCACCTGTTTCCAGTTTCTCGCCACCGTTTCTCACGAAATCAGGACACCTATGAATGGCATCCTTGGTGAGTATTTTATCTACCTTGGAATTCTTTTAGACGAGTATTGACTATTGGCTTCCCTAATGTTTGATTGTTTTTTCAATTTCCTTCCTAATATTTTAAAAGTTGAGTCCAACAGTAACTAAATATTAAAAGAATGACAATATATGAGTTTTAAAGTAGCAAATTTTATGGGTTTTTAAATTGTTAGCATCCAACTATTTTGATGGTTTAATTTCCTATAACAACAATCCATTTCAGGGCCAGTTAATTACTACATACTAAACCATGTTAAATGAGTAAATTTTAAATTTTATGGGCGAGTATGTCTATTTCATCAAATTAAACATAGAGTACTTTTAACTCAATTAATAAAGTATATTTTCACATTCAATCATCATTTTATCATTTAACGTCTGGTGAAAATAATTGGACCAAATTGATAAAACACTCCAACTTTAGGGACTAGAACATATATTTGTGTTTAACTATAAAATGCGTATACCCAATGACTCATATTTTCAATTGTAGGAATGCTTGCCCTACTTCTTGATACGGAGTTGAATTCGACTCAAAGGGATTATGCTCAAACTGCTCAGGCCTGTGGAAAAGCACTGATAGCGTTAATAAATGAGGTGCTCGACCGGGCGAAAATTGAAGCTGGGAAGTTGGAGCTCGAAGCGGTTCCTTTTGACCTTAGATTGATACTAGATGATGTTCTGTCTTTGTTTTCTGAAAAGTCAAGGCACAAGGGAGTAGAGGTAAAATCCTGAAGGTCTAAATCTGAGCAAGTGATTTTCATTTTTCTATATTCTTTCTTTCCTTTCTGTGAATATTTTCTAACTGAGCATGAGGAGATCTCAAACCAATGAAGCTTTTCCTTGACACTGTAAATAAATTTTGCATCCATCTTATGAGATCCAGTGATTAATCTTGTTCTCTTACCTGCTTCTCTCATGGTGACTTTCGTGATTTCTGGATGGTGGTTTCCGTGACCTTCTCTATTTTGTTGCACCAATTGTGGACATGAAGTTGGCAGTATTTGTTTCTGATAAAGTTCCTGAAGTTGTTATGGGAGATCCTGGAAGGTTCAGACAAGTAGTCACAAATCTTGTGGGGAACTCAGTAAAAGTAAGTTTTCTTTTATTTTCCCTTGTGTCTAATAGGTTTCCGAACTTTCAATTTTGTATATAATAAGTTACTAAACTTCAAAAGTATCTAATAAAATATCTGAATTTTCATTTTTGTATCTAATGAGTCCCTGGCCTATTTGATCTTTTTTAACAAACTTCAGTGAGAAACAAAATTGAGTGTTATGGATCCATCAAATTAAAAAAATACTTAATTGGTTGGGGACCTATTAGATACTAATTTGAAAGTTTAGGGCCTACCAAACATTTTTTAAAATTCAGGAACCTATTAGATACAACATTCAAAGTTCAGGACCTATTTAGAGACACCCAATTCTACAAGTTTAGTGACTAACTTGTAACTTAATCTTTTATTTAACTTTTCAACTAAAAAATTGTGAACACTTGATGGTTTTGACCAAATGCATCTGAAACTTGAATTTTACCATTAGTTTAAAGTCTCTCTTAGTTGCACTTTTCTTCTGAATGTGATTGAAGTCTCATTACTCGGCACATTTGACAGTTCACAGAACGAGGACATATATTTGTTAAAGTTCAGTTAGCCGAACAATCAATGACCTCTACAATTATGAAATCTGAAACTCATGTGAACGGAAACTTAGATGACGGTGCATTGTACAATAAACATCAGTCTGAAACCTTAAGTGGGTGTGAGGCAGCTGATAACCAGAATAGTTGGGACACTTTTAAGCATCTAATTGCAAATGAGGAATTCCGACCGAACACTTCAAGCAATCTCTCGGTTACGAATGAAAGTTCTTCTGATATTGTTACTGTCATGATATCTGTGGAAGATACAGGAATCGGGATTCCGTTATGCGCCCAAGGTCGAGTTTTCATGCCCTTCATGCAGGCAGATAGCTCAACCTCCAGAAACTATGGTGGAACTGGTATTGGCTTAAGCATCAGTAAGTGTTTGGTCGAACTTATGGGCGGTCAGATAAACTTTGTGAGCCGGCCTCAGGTTGGAAGCACATTCTCCTTCACTGCTGTTTTTGGGAAATGTGAGAAGAAGGCAACCGTCGACATTAAAAAGTCTAATTTGGAGGAACTCCCTTCTGCTTTTAAAGGATTGAAGGCTGTCGTAATCGATGGTAAACCGGTTCGAGCTGCTGTGACTAAATACCATTTGAAGAGACTTGGCATCCTGGTTGAAATTTCCACTAGTGTCAAGATGGCTGCAGCATATGGGGGCAAAAATGGTTCTGTTAGATCAAGGTAAGCACTATTAACTTTAAATGGACAATACATTAGAAACAAGTTGTACAATTTCTTACAAAAATTATTAGTACCATGTTTAATTGCAGTATTCTATACTTAGATATAAAATAGGTAAGTTAGAAGTTTGTCCCTGAGCTTTCATAATCTATTTAATAGGACTCTAAACTTTTAAAAGGGTCTAGTAGATCCCTAAGCTTTCAATTTTATGTCTAATATGTTCCAGTCTTATTAGGCATTTTTTAAAATTCAGGACTTGAATTTTGTATCTAATAAATCATTGACCTTTTAGTTTTGTGTTTAATACGTTTTTGAATTTTAGAAAATATCTAATAGGTCATAAAATTAAAAGTTTAGGGACATATTAGAATCTATTAGACAATTTTGAAAATTTGAAGGACTGAACTTATAATTTACTTGTAAAATATATATATATATATAAATATGGTCGATCAAAATGTATGAGATCTTCATTAATATATTTCATAATTAAGATTGTGCATGGCTAACATCATTTTGTAGATATATGATAGTGCAGCTTTGTGACACGAATTATTTATCGAGTATTGCAGTAATATATTTCAGCCCGATGTAGTCCTTCTCGAGAAAGATATCTTTTTTTCAAATGAGGGATGTGGTTGTTCTAATCTACTTCATCAGCTGGACTGGAAGCAGAATGGTCATACCCTCAAGTTGCCGAAACTGATCCTTCTCGCGACCAGCATAAGCACTGCTGAATTCGATAAAGCGAAGGAAGCGGGTTTTTCGGACACCTTGATCATGAAACCACTGAGAGCAAGCATGATAGGTGCATGTCTTCAACAAGTGCTCGGCTCGGGAAAGAAACGACAGCTCGGGAAGGACATGGCCAATGGCCCCACTTTTCTTAGAGGGCTGCTTTGTGGTAAGAAAATATTGGTTGTTGATGACAATAGGGTAAACCGACGAGTTGCTGCGGGCGCTTTGAAGAAATTCGGTGCTGATGTTGAGTGTGCTGAGAGCGGCAAAGCTGCACTAGCATTGCTTCAACTTCCACACAGTTTTGATGCTTGCTTTATGGATATTCAGATGCCAGAAATGGATGGGTACGTGTACCGTTCTCTATTGCTCTCATTCATTTTTCTACAAATATACCGGTTAAAATTACAAGTGTTTAGTACCTGAACTTTCAAGGATGTATATGGTCCCTGAATTTTAAATAGTATGGGATAGATTTAAAAAACTTTTAGTTTTGTGTCTAGTAGGCCTTTGAACATTCAATTTTATGTCAATAGGCTTCCAAACTATAAGGTAATTTTTAAAACTCATGGATTTATTGGACACAAAATTGAACTTTGTGTATAATAGGATCTTTAACATTTCAATATTATATCTAATAGGCCAATTAAAAAAATTTTGATAAGTTCAAAGATTTATTCGACATAAAATTGGAAGTTCAAGAAACTATTAGACACTTTTAAAGTTTAGAGACATATTAGACACAAAACTAGCTGTACTTGAGAATCCTCCTCTGTTTGGAAGTTGTTTTCACAAATGGATCGTTTTTTAATGTAATGTGTTTTCTTCAATCACAGATTCGAAGCGACTAGAAGAATCAGGGAGATGGAGAGCAAGGAAAACGAGGTACTGGTTAGAGAATCTGGTGGCAAAGAAGATGCAAGGAAAGATGAATGGCACATTCCAATATTAGCCATGACAGCGGACGTATTTCAAGCTACGTACGAAAAGTGCCTGGAGTGTGGGATGGACGGATATGTATCGAAGCCATTCCAGGAAGAGAAACTTTATCAGGCAGTTTCCAAGTTTTTCAAATCGAAGCCTATCTCGGATTCATGACACACACGCATCATGGACATTTGAAACCGACGCAACTGTGTCGATTCGGTCCGAGATGGAAGGCATTTGTTCCAGGTTGGTTGGTACATTTTGCAGCAGATGCTTTCAAAAAAAGACTTGAAGGGGCCACCATTTTTGACCAAAATATTGGGACTGAACTGGCTATTTTGTACATTACTCTGCCTTGTATGTGCTGTGCTGTAGGCCCCTTTGAGTTGTGGCTTTTGGGCTGTGGGGGCTGCAAAGGGTGTAAATGTCATTATGATTATTTTTATGCTTGCTTTATAAAAAGCAAAAAAGGGAATGGTAGCTTAATTTGTATAATTATGTCGAAAATAGGAAGGATTTATAATTTGGTAGCATCATGGAGAGACTTTAAAAGCTACCATTTGAATTTAAAATTTCACAAATGATCATCTTGAATTTAGTCGATGATTGTTACACAAACACCACTATACAACTTCATCCAAGTGGAAAATTGTAACATCTTCAAAATACCTATTAACTCTATAGTATATTAAAAACTGAGGTAGGAAAAATATTTTTGGGCACTTATGTCCTATTTTAATTGATTGATCTACAAAATTGTCGTAGATTGATTAATTAATAATTAGTTATCAATAATCAATAATAATAAATATGTGGAATCTAAAAAAAAGTTGGAAAGTAAAAAAATTATTTCTTTAATTATAAATCATAATAGAATTTTAAAAGTGTTGAATGATAAAATTTGGCCAATGGTCAAATGCCACATAATCAATTTGAAATTATATTTAGGATCAATGATAAAATTACACGTGTCTTAAATTAATCGATAAATTAAATTATGCCTCATATGGTCGTCTGATGAAATCAACTAATTGGTTCAAAACCTATAAAGAGACGGGCTTGGGCCATATAAGACCTACCAAAGCTCTAAGGAGGTCACATCTCATTTGAGACCTTCGAAGAGATATACAAGTATTGGAGATTCAGAGCCTTCAGAACATTCAGAGTCATCTACAACCACTCAAAGTGCAAAGCATCCAGAACCAACAAGATTCGAAGAACTAAAGACTCGAAGAATGAAAACTTGAAGACTAGGGGACTTCAAAAATTTCGAATCTTCTTTTCGTCAAACAACCGACCGAAGAACTTCACAAGCTACAAGTCGAAGATTTCACAAACCGAAGACCTCACGAGCCGAAGTACTTCCTCAAGCTGCAGATTTCGTCAAGCGAGCCAAAGACTTCATCAAGCCACAAACTTTGCAAGCATCAAGCTTCACAACCTAAGACTTTAAAGATTCTTCAATACGCTAAAAGTTGACGACACAAACTCATTGATTCGAGAACAAGCTCTCAAGCCCTCAAATTAAAGTTCACATTTGAGAGAATTAATCAGAGGATCATATATTAGAGATTATAACACTACATACATTTAATACAAATCAAGTTCATTAATTCGAGTTATCTTTGTTGACGGAGAAATTTCAGCCAATTATTAAATGCCACATCACAAATTAAAAAATTATATTTAGGACCAATCACAAATTTACGTGTGTCTGAAATTAATTTTAAAATCGACGAATCAAATTATGGCGTGTCTCTCTTATGGTCGTCCAATGAAATCAACTAATTGGACTAAACCCATAAAGAGATTGGGCGAAGCCCATGACCCATTAAGCCTATGGCCCATATAAGACCCACCAAAGCTCTATAAATAGAGGGAGTCACCTCTCATTTGGGTCGGTCGGAAGAAGCTATAATAATTGGAGATTTATAGCACTCAGAATTGTCTACAATAATTCAGAGTCAATCGAAGCATTCAAAGCCAATAAGACTTGAAGAATTCGAGACTTGAAGAGTACGATACTTCAAGAACATTGGATCTTCTCTCCCCAAGCAACAATACTTGAAGACTCCATCAAACTGCAAAGTCTTTTTCAAATTGACTGAAGAACTTCAACAAGCTGCAAAGCCAAAGCATTTCACAATCTGCAAAGCCAAAGAACTTCACAAGCAGCAAAGCCGAAGAACTTCACACGCTGCAAAGTTGAAGAACTTCACGAGCGCAAAGTCGAAGACTTCAAAGATTCTTCAATAAGCTCAAAGCCGAAGACTTTTCAAAGTCTTCATCAAACTACAAGTCAAAGAACTTCATCAACAAGCTCAAAACCGAAGACTTCAAAGATCATTCGACAAGCAAGAAGCTGAAGGAATCAACCATTGATTCCACAGGCCCTTGAATTAAAGTTTACATTTGAGAGAATTAATCAGAAGATTATACATTAGAGATTGTAAAACCCACATACATAAATACATATACAAGTTTATTAATTCTAGTTTTCTCTTATTGAATTTCTCGTCGAACAAATTGGCACGCCTGGTGGGACATCTCTACCTCTCATCTCTTTCTCTCAAACCAAGAAGTAATGGCATCTAAGGAAGCTTCATCCACCATGGAAGAAAAGTTGGTGAAAATGGAGAAGAAACTTAACATGCTGATAAAAAATGGTTGAAGAGAGGGACTATAAGATTGCTTCCCTTATAAACCAGATCGAAATTCAAGATGTTATGAATGTTGCCGAGTCAAGCCAAAATCGTGTTGCGAAAGTCAACGACAAAAGAAAGAACATGATGCAAGAGGATTAACAGGAACACTCTATTTCAATTGCTTCATTGTCTGTCCAACATCTTCAAGATATGATCACAAATTCGATCAGAGCTCAATACGGCGGATCTTCTCAAAGAAAGCTCCCCAATGTACTCCAAGCCGTACACCAAAAGGATTGATGACTTGAGAATGACAATTGGATATCAGCCTCCGAAGTTTCAGCAATTCGACGGAAAGGGCAATCCTAAGCAAGATATTGCTCATTTCGTTGAGACATGTGAAAATGCTGGCACTCGAGGAGATCTACTCGTCAAACAATTTGTTCGAACATTAAAGGGCAACACTTTTGACTGGTACACAGATCTGGAGCCTGAATCTATCAACAATTGGGAGTAGTTGGAAAAAGAGTTCTTAAATCGCTTATACAGCACAAGGCGAACCGTAAGCATGACGAAACTCACCAACACCAAGCAACGAAAAGATGAACCTGTTGTTGACAACATCAATAGGGGGAGAGCTTTGAGTCTCGATTGCAAAGATCGACTGATTGAACTATCTGCTATCGAGTTGTGCATTCAAGGCGTGCATTGAGGACTTATCTACATCCTTCAAGGAATAAAACCCCGCACGTTTGAAGAATTAGCAACTCGCGCCCACGACATGGAGCTAAGTGTAGGATCAAATGGCAACACTAGAGGGGGGTGAATAGGGTTGCTTACCACTTTTTGAAAATTAAAAATAAATTTAAAGTAATGAACAATTATGCAACCAATAAAAGAAGATTAACAAGAAGAGGAAACATTGAGCAAAATATTTAAGTAAACCTATATGCAATCTACCAAGATTCAAAGTAGGTAAATACTGAATTTAAAAGAGAGAAGAGAAGAGAGTGGTGACACCGAGAAATTTTATAGTGGTTCG